GGTTTTTGCACCACTGGCAAAACTGAAACACCAGTGAAGCCACTGCAACTCGGCTAAAAAGCTGCTGATGTCCCGACATGCTGTTTTAAACTAATAAAACATCCCACCTGGAGACTTCTTGCAGGGTCGAGCTGCCATCACGTATGTGTGTCGGGGCAGCAGAGGAGACGATGGCAGAGACATAGAGACTCCTTTAGAAAAACCCAGTCTGAGGCCTTCATCTGCAGACGGATACGGATCCGGCATGCCACCGCCAGCACACCTCCACTGGCCACTGAGCACCAACGGCTCCCCTGATCACACACAGAGGAAAAACAAATCAATTAGCATTTCCTAACCACCCAAATAAATGTAAAATTATGAATTCGTCCAAATAGAGGCATTGATTTCATCTGGTGAACGTGTACTTGATATTGAAATTAGTATCAGAGAAATATAAAACATCGCAATGTTCGTTTTTTATAATATTAAGCAGCCCTAATTCAGCACTAATCAGTAGTACGTTGTGATCTTCTGATCTAACAGACACAGCGCAACATGATTTAGAAAAAGCAATCAACATCTTGTTGCAGGTCAAAATGAACACATTTAATGCAAAACTAAATGCATTTCTCCACTGATTACTTAAACTAATAGGTACAATTAGCTTTGGAGAGTTTTTCGAGTCGTCATGAACGCGACATGCAGCTTGAATGGAGAATGAATGGAGAATGAATGACATTCGCAGTGGCGGGAAGCGCTGAACTGAACATGAATTTAAGCACTTGAATTTTCATCTGTGCTTCACATTGAACTGTAGAATGGCTTCAGAGCATTTGAGAGTAGGCCTACATGACAACTTTCTAGTGCCTTATAATAGGCTACCTTCTTGGCTTTTGTTAGCTTATAAATTACAGCGAATTTAGCGCGCACGCAAGAGCGGATTTGGATCGGTACTAAGGTAGCTGACCGATACCGGATCCAGCAAAAACATGCGGTATCGAACCGATATCTGATCCAAGTATTGGGATCGGTGCATCCCTGAAATAAAGTAAATATTTCCCAACTGCAGTAAGATCATAAGTGATTCTTTAAGTGAAGTTTATTTATAAACAAATTTCGAGAGGATCACCTGCTTATGATTGTTCACAGCTGTTCCAACTTTAGCTAATGACTGATTATCCTATCAGACGATCCTTAACTCACTATAAATAACCAGACTTTTCTCATCTCAATATCTTCGTCTTGAAGAAACCCCCCCACACAACCCTACTTTCCCTCCTTTCAAACGGGCGTCACGGTGGCCAGCGATTAGCGCTGTTGCCTCACAGCAAGAATGCCCCTGGTTTAATTCCTTGCCAAACCAGACGGCATTTCTGTGCGGAGTTTGCTCGTTCTCCCCGTGGTCGCGTGGGTTTTCCCCGGGTCCTCCGGTTTCCTCCCACGGTTCAAAAACAAGCACTCTAAACAATTAATCCAAATACATTAGCTAAACCCCGAGTACACCTTTCAGCATCCATATCTGACACTTAGCTACAACAAGCAAGAGGGAGAGTCATCGAGATCTACCTGAGCTCAAACTCCCCTCTCGCCTTGCAACGGGAGGGAGCCCAGGGCTCGAGGATTTTATAAGCTCAGGGCTCTCTCCCGGGACAGCACGCCAAACTAGCTTTATCATCAATCATCAGCCAAGTGTGAACTCTTGAAAGAGAAGGTGAAACACATGAAATGATCAGCCTAACAGCTCCAGTGAAACACTTTTACTAATGACTTGACTGATACTTTCAGTAATGAGGATGACGGAGATTCATAAATGCAGTTCATAAAAACATTCAGTCGTCTCAATAAAAACAAACAGAGCCACTGAGATTCACTTTAGATTAAAACCTGGCAAATAAAACAGAAATGGTTTTCACTGTAAACCTTCAGAGGAACAGAAACTAATTAGTAGAGCTCAATAATAACACAGGAGAACACGGCTCCAGGGTATTATCATGACACGCTTCACACACAACACATTACATTCATTCCTACAACCCATTGTTTCTGTATAATTATTTTCTTTCGCTAAATGTTCAGAAATGCATTAAAGAAGTGATTTTAAATGTGATGATCTGTGATTGGGCGAGGCAGTGGCGCAGTAGGTAGTGCTGTCGCCTCACAACAAGAAGGTCGCTGGGTCGAACCTCGGCTCAGTTGGCGCTTCTGTGTGGAGTTTGCATGTTCTCCCTGCCTTCGAGTGGGTTTCTTCCGGGTGTTCCGGTTTCCCCCACAGTCCAAAGACATGTGGTACAGGTGAATTGGGTAGGCTAAATTGTCTGTAATGTATGAGTGTGTGTGTGAATGTGTGTGTGGATGTGTGTGTTTCGCATCTATTTGCACTCTTCAGAATTAAACGCTACTTATTAGGGATTTTTACATTGCTAATGTATTATTACTATTATATTACAGTATTTTTGCATCCAAAAAATATTCAGTTGCTGTCACATGACCTCAACAGCATCCATTTTTTATTTTTAATAAATATGAATTTGGGGCATCACGGGGATGCAGGGGGTAGCACGATCACCTCACAGCAAGAAGGTCGCTGGTTTGAGCCCCGGTTTTGGTTTGGATCTGTTGGCATTTCTGTGTGGAGTTTGCATGTTCTCCCCGTGTTGGCATGAGTTTCCTCCGGGTGCTCCGGTTTCCTCCACAGTCCAAACACAAGCGCTTTAGTGGGAATTGAATAAGCTAAATTGTCTGTAGTGTATGTGTGTGAAAGAGTGTGCATGGGTGTTTTTAAAAGGGTTGGGTTGGGGCTGGAAGGGCATCTGCTGAGGAAAACATATGCTGGATAAGTTGTCGGTTCATTCCCCTGTGGCTATTCCTGATGAATAAAGGGACTACGCCGAAAAGAAAACGAATGAATTCATTAATAAATATATTTGCTATAAATGTTTTAAAGGTTATGAAATGTAATTATATGTGTTATAGGTATAATTAATTCAATCTTTTAAATACAATTCTGCACTTTGCACAGAATTATGCATAAAAAAATCCTAATGCACATTACACTGAACACTTAAAATGCTGGGTTCTTATGATCAAATGTTGGGTCAAATGTGGACAAACCCAACTATTGCTATATTTGACACACTGAGTACATTTATATGGACACCAATAATCTGATTTCAATGAGATTAAGACATTACTATGATTAAGAGTCCACCATGTAAACCAGTGGTAGGGAACCTATGGCACTCGAGCCACATGTGGCTCTGGCTCTTTGACCAAAATCACGTGGCTCTTTGACCAAAATCACATGGCTCTCCAGTTGTCTTCCTTCAATAATATTACATATTAAAAAATATAACCGTCATATAAATATAATACAATTATAATTCCCTCTTTATTGTCATTTTTACAGCAAAAATGAATAAGAACTCTGTTAACAATAAAAAGATGTTCTTTCTTCATTCACGGACTTGCTCAACATAATGCTTCATATTTGTAACGATTGGAGTCTTGGAGTAACGATTGATGACCAACTAAACTGACCAGAACTGCTCGATCTTGCAGATTCGCACTCTAAAACATCAGAAAGATCCAACCCTTCCTATCTGAACATGCAGCTCAACTCCTTGTTCAAGCTCTTGTTCTCTTCAGACTGGACTATTGTAACTCTCTACTAGCCGGGCTTCCAGCTAACTCTGTCAAACCTGCTTTTAACTCTGTCAAATCTGTAGTCGAATTATTTGCCAAATTATTAAATGGTGGACTTTAACTGCAGTTTGGCTCTTTCATTCAGGGAATTCATTCATGTCCCTCGCGACAAACGAGATATTTGATTCGAGGAACTGCTCTAAGCGTGTATTTTCATGCAGTGTTTGATACCGCACAGCGAATGAGAGAAAAAAAAAACGACAGCATTTTCCGGAAACTTAGATGCACACGGCAGGTAGTGTCAGAAAGCCGCGTGTGTTATTCCGGTCACAAAATGCGGTTAAAAACCCTACACGAGGTTAAAGTTTGGTTGTGGTCCTAACATGTTACACTCGGTGACTCGGTGCAATAGTTAACTTAGTTCGATACGAACAAACTGAATAAACAAAGAGCACTGGTCGCTCACTTACCAAATCTGTAGAGACAGGACAATCACCAGCAACTAGAGCCGCGTCTTTATTAAGAGGAGACTACAAGCGAATCCGATCTCAGCGTTTGCAGATGAGAACAGCTCTCAGGTAAACAATAATCCTCCTTAGACACGTAAGTTATTGTTGTCGAGCGTCGCGTACACTGTTAATCCACACGTGAGTCTGAGCTCTCACAGAGAGAAAAAGAAAACGAAACTTAACGGCAGCAAACTATAAAAGCAACACTTCACGCTTGTTTTGCCAACACAACGTGGCGTCTATGTCGTGTAAACACAGTAATGAATATTAATGAAGTTGCTCAATAGAGCGCGCTGATTGGTTTGAACCAAGCCTTACTCATGCATTAATGCAACACACTGTAAGACGTAATAAGACTCACTCTGGCACAGACGCCCAGTCTGCACACTGGAATACACGCTATTATGTCATGACCGTGACGCAGCTTCAAAAATTCGTTTCAAACAGGAAGTACGAATTTGCTTGAAATAACGCAAAAACAACCAATTTACACTTTTTAGTGAAATATAGGTGTCCTAATAGTGTTTTTAGCAGTGTGGGACACATATACCACTGTCAACAGCTCAAAAAATGTGTTTTGGTGTTTCGTGACCCTTTAATGAACCTAAAAGAGCACGTCACTCCGCTGCTCATCCGTTTGCACTGGCTGCCAGTTGCTGCTCGCATCAAATTCAAAGCTCTGATGTTTGCTTACAAAGCGACATCTGGCTTTGCTGCTTCTTACCTGCTCTCACTTCTGCAGATTTATGTGCCCTCCAGAAACTTGCGTTCTGTGAATGAACGTCGCCTCGTGGTTCCATCCCAAAGAGGGAAGAAATCACTTTCCCGATCGCTCGCGTTTAATCTGCCCAGTTGGTGGAATGAACTCCCTAACTGCATCAGAACGGCAGAGTCACTTGCTGTCTTCAAGAAACCACTAAAAACTCAACTATTTAATCGAGGGAATTTTTATTAAGTAAAACTGGCCTCAGACGGTTTAGTTTAGTCTGCTTCAAACCTGCAGGAAAATATCTCAATATCAATTTTGATCTTAAAATTTTTGTTAATTTCATACGCAACAAAGTTCCAGAGTCTTTAAATGAGTTTGCACTTCCAGAGGCAATGAAAGGAATTCCCAGGCTCTCTATGACACTTAACACAAAGAGCTGGTATAGAGGGAT